AGCAGCTCTCCCGGAATCCTCCAGGCCTTCTGTGCTAGTTTGGGATAGCTGAGACCTCCAACTTTGTGGACCCAACAACTATTGTATTCTCAGCCTCTCCATTGTAGCCATTTCGGACTACCCAGATCAAACCCTGTAAGTCAAATCCCCTTTTAATATCTATTTTCGTCCTATTCATTCTGTTCCTCTAGAGTAGTGGTTCTCAACATGTGGATCAAGAACCCTTTGGGGCCAGTATTGGTCACCCTGAATATCAGGTATTTACATTATGATGTTCAACAATAGCAAAATTACAGTTATGAAGTAGCAACAGAGTAATTTGATGGTTGGGGGTCGCCACAGCACAGCACGAGGAAGTGCATTAAAGGGTCTCAGTATTAGGAAGGTTGAGAACCGCTGGTTGTCTAGAGAACCCTGCCTCGTACAGACATTTCTCTCCTTCATGAGTGCTTTCATCTTGAACCCTCTACGGAGATAACATGGTCTTTGATGGTCCCCGTCTCAGAGTTGTCAGTGAGGGTGATTGTTATCCATGCTATTTTTAAAGCCATGGTGTCAGAGTATAGGGTACGATCGTATGGCGTGATGCAAATTTACAGGGTGTGTGGACGAGCTGCCACCAAAGAGCAGATGACAGAAAGCAAATCTAATTCAAAGCACTGTTGGGAGTATTCTGAGAAAAGGCAAAGAACTGGGTTCCAAAACTGTAACTGTAGGCATGATTTCTACTGATAGGGGCCAGAAATACCTTCAGAGGTTTTGAGAATTACAAGCAAAGAAGCTTACAGGATCATTTCGGGATGGGAAGGAAGGTAGGAAGATAATAATGATAATGATAGTAATAATAATAGCAATGATAATAGAAAAGCTGAAAGGTAGCACAGGGGGTATGGCGAGAAGGACTGTGAAACCCCAGACCTCCAGCACTGCACAGAACCCTAACCTGGGCTGCAGTTAAGCCATGGGAAGGTGGTAGACCTGGAGGGAGCCCATCTCCCAGGCCCTTGGTCTCCTAGCTTAGCATTTTCTTTCTTTCTTTCTTTCTTTCTTTCTTTCTTTCTTTCTTTCTTTCTTTCTTTTTTTTTTTCTATTTTGGTTTTTTGAGACAGGGTTTCTCTGTATTGTTTTGGAGGCTGTCCTGGAACTCACTCTGTAGACCAGGCTGACCTCGAACTCACAGAGATCTGCCACCCTCTGTCTCTCAAGTGCTGGGATTAAAGGCATGTGCCACCAATGCCTGGCTTCTAGCTTAGCATTTTCAGCAGGGGGAGTATGCTAAGCATGAGGCAAGTCTTGGCCATTGCCCTGCTGTACGCTAAAGTTCCTTGTTGCTAGGAGTCTGTGCTCTGAATGTGTGACAGGGCACCTCCTAAGATGAATCCATTGTGACAAAACCAAGAGCACGCAAGTGTCGACTGGTAGCAGAGAGACATCTATTTGGCTTGAAATCGCAGATTCATGCTCAGCGTCTGTGTGTGTTCAGAATTTAGGAGGCCCCGGAATCGAGTTGTTCAGGTGACTGTGGGTGCCTCCGCAGTCCTCCCTTTCTTTCCGTGTGTCTGAAGCCTACCTGGTCACTATGGCTTCCCGCCATCATGGACGACCACAGTGACTCTTTAGACCCTGTCAGGTCTGGGCAAATATTGCACAGACACTGTCAGAGGCAAGCTGCAGAATGTAGAACACTACCCGCAAAGGTGGTATCTGGTGGTTTCTAAGTCCCAGTGCATCTCCTCAGGCGGGAAGTAAAGGCTGAATTCAACACACCAAACACTGAGTGAGAACATAATGGTGACCCATGAGTTCTGGAAAGCACCCTAGAAATGGTGAGATTTAACATCCTCTGCTGTGGTGCTTAATCTGCCCAGTGGACTGCTTCCCCCTCCCCTCTCCTCCCCTCCCCGCTCTTCCCTTCCCCTCTCCTCCCCTCCCCTCTCCTCCCCTCCCCTCCCCTTCCCTCTTTTCCCTCACTTCCTTTTCTTTCTCTCAGTCTCTTTAAGACAGGGTTTCCCTATGTCCTGGAACTCACTACGTAGACCACCCTGGCCTTGAACTCACAGAGCTCTGCCTGCCTCTGCCTCCTAAATGCTGGGGTTAAAGGCGTGTGCCACCACCACCCACACCACAACTTTTCCTAGCCAGGAATATACCTTGATATCTTTTACATTATTAAAATTAATGCTAGGTTGAAAACACATTTGAAAGATTTTCTTCTTCACCGTTTAAAATTGCCACAGTTTTAGGTTGTGAATTTAATATTTTTCATGTGCCCATTATTGACCCTGGGATAGGACCAATATGACAGCATTTTGTTCAAAAGGCAATTGAGATACAAACCTTATGGACTTATACTATTTAACTCACCCTTTTAGTTCTGGTAGTCAGTCAGATGTTTGACTGATATCTCAGCCTTGTGTGGAACTAAGTCTTAAATAGTAAGGGTATCATTAGTTCTTTGTTAAATGTTTTTATTTAAAGAGAACACTGCAGAGCATTTAGGCCCTTCAAATTTCTTCTTGTTGATTAAAAAAAAAATACCACACAAGGCTTGTCTGGTCTACAGTGAGAGTTCCAGGACAGTCAGGGCAATACAGAGAAACCCTGTCTCGAAAAAAACTAAGAAAAAGAAAAAGGAAAAGGAAACTATCACAAACCTTAAGTAGGTTGTTTTCCAATCTGCAGCAGAGGTTTTCTTTAGGGTGAGGAATGTGGTACCCTACAACTACAGGAAGCTCCCTGTTTATACCTTCATCTCCTCTAGGTTCAACCCACTTGCTTTTATGTGGCGATCATTCTGGTTGTCCGTTTCCTAGGCATCATGAAAAAAATGGTGACTTAGCGGAATGTAACCATTCCTCTGAGCGGGATCATTGCTTCCTGGAGGGAAGCTCACAGGTCTCAGGAAGCTAAAAAAGACTCAGCAGTCTCCAGAAACTGAGAGAGCTACCAGCCTCATGAGATCCCTCCTTCTGGTGACTCTGGCTAAGCGAGTTGTTCAGGGAACTCCAAGGATGGCTCTTTCCCGAGTGTCACTCATGCTGGGGTGACACAGCTGCTGTGTGTCACCATGCTTTTGTAAGTAGCCTGTCACTCAGGGGCTCATAAGTAGCACTGATAGGATTGTTCACTTTGCTTGTCAGTGTCTTTCCAGGATAAGTTATGCAATACTCGCTTTTATTGCTGGAGATGTGGATGGTAGAGCCATCCAATGGCAAATGTTTCTCTTTCACCCAGACCCGATGCATCTCCAAGGTCATTAGCTCTTGGCTCAGAGTTGACTTGAGTTCAATGTCCAGCTTATGACATCTTTGGAGTACAACTGTTTACACTCACGGTGGCTTTGGGGTTATCTTCAACTTACACAAGTAATTAAAAGTAATTTCTCCTCTGGTGTCTCCCACAAATTGTACCCATATGTCTCAGACACAGTGGAATGCGAAGGTGAGAGCTGTCAAAGGGTCTTAAGAGTCAACCCTGAACCAAATGCTGCTAGGCCCAGCTACTGTGATAATTAGCCACAACACACACCAGCAGCTGTGCCTGGGAACTTCTAGTCTTTCCAGGAACTAGGCAGCGTTGTTGGAATCCAACACAGGCAACCACTATTTCCTTATTATCCAGAGGTCCAAAGTCAAAGAAGGGTGCCATGTGCTCACTGAATTGATCTATTCGTGTTTCCCCTTGGGAGGGATGAGTAACTCCCTAGGAACAGCCTCTTTGAGAAGAAACTTTGGAAGACTTCAACAACTTCTTTGTAGACACATCTATGATTCAAAATGGCATGTTCCGGTCTGGGAAAAAAAAAAAGCTGATTTTCAATATTTTTGAAAGTTGATTTACAGATAGGATAGATAGTTTCTAAGCAGAATTTAAGAAAAAACCCTTTGAAATGCCCCCATTGATTCATGGAGCATATACAGATACTTCCTGGAATGAAGACAGTGTGTACGATTGTGGGGTTTATTTTGTGTGTTTGCCATGAGGATGAAATAGGGGTTGGAAATTATTGTGCCCAGGATGCAGAAGGAAATTAAATAAGCTCCCAGGATGAAAAGAAATGTTTAAAAAGTACCCTGCATGACATTTCAGGTAATAAAGTACCAGGGCCAGATGGATACACAGCTGTATTGCCTAGAACTTACAGTTATAAATTACTTCTGTCTTGAGAGGGGTTTATAAACAGGCCCCAGGAACTGCAGAAACGCCCCTGCTTCCCATTGCATTGGCAAGAAAAGGAAATGTGTAGGCTGTAAACTCACTTGGTTTTTTTGAATTCTAACCAAAAATTGCAAGTGTTAGATTTATAAACTACTAAGTAGTGTTTACCTTTCCAAGTATGTTTATTTAATAGAGGTTTCCCATAGGGTATTTATCACCTTATTAATATTAAAAATACTGTACCAGAGCTTTGAGCAATAATTATGGATAAAGTCTCCCCCAGTAAACCTAATGTCTGAGAAAGCATTCTTCTCAAAGAAATAGTCACAGAAGGTTTTGTTTTGCTTTAGATTTTGAGACTAACCGGAATCCAGGCAGAATATATTGACTTTTTCCATTTCTATGTTCTTGGAATAGTTACAGATATGTGAAGCTATCTGATATCCTCCATACTTCTCCAAGTGTGTTTGGAGGGTGGAGTGGAGTGGTGGTCTTCTCTCTGGGATGACTCACTTTTTGCTATGTACTATGATGTGCCCGTGTGTCTGCAATGCTCAGCCTAGAGCTTTGTTAGAGTCAGTTAAACACCGAGACTAAAGACCCTCAGAGGATACTAGTAGCAGTGGTGGGGGGCAGGACAGGAACCTCAGATTTTCTGCCGGGCAATGCCTTTGAGTGCTTTCTTAAGAGTTAGGCAGACCACGCACTAGAGGGCCAATGCGCATGCGGAGGGCAAGAGATGCCGAGGCTTCAGCCTCAAATCCCACAGGGGCTGCGCATTTCTCACAACAATGTAATAGCCTTCCTGGGTCACATTCCAGACACCAGAGCCACCATACTCAGGGAAACCCTGAGCGGCCCCGTCTGACCAGAGAGCCGCAGTTCACCTACTGTCTCTCCCAAACGCGGATCCATTTGCCAGCCCAGTGTGTCTGGAGCGGGTGAGTCTTGACTCTCTATGTCACGGGAAACCCACCTCTGGGTGGATCTGTGAAAGCATTTCAGGAAGGGATTAACTGACGGAGACGACTATCCCTCCGACTGGGTGGTGCCATCAGCCAGCTGGCCCAGATGTGAGGAGGTCTGGGGGAACAGCGGTGGTGTCCCTTTGCTTCTTGTGGTGAGAGCATCTATTGCTCCTGCCATGCCCTGTTGATGTCAGATGCTGTCTCTTTGGTCTTCCCATGCAGGGAGAAGAATAGCACTCTCCAGAAATCCTCCAGATTCTCTGCACCAGATGAGGGTGCTGAGACGTCCGATGCTGCAGACCAAGCAGATACTGGATTCTTGGCCTTTCCAATACTCAGATTGCCACTGTAGAACTACCCAGCCCCTGTAAGTCTGTCCAAAGAGTGAGTCTCCTTCCAACATACAATCTCTCTCTCTCTCTCTCTCTCTCTCTCTCTCTCTCTCTCTCTCTCTCTCTCTCTCTCTCTCTCTCTCTCTCTCCTAGTTGAATAATCAGACATTAGGATGATCAACTTTAGACAATAGCCAAGGGAGAGTAACAAGCTTATTTGTGTATGTAATGGAAGGCTGGATAAGGCGCCAATGAAACACCCGTAGAGGTGTCTGTGCGAGCTTTCCTAGAGATTAACCGATAGAGAGACCAGTTAACTAGGATGGGGACTAAATAAGAAGGGAAAAAGGACACAAACTGGCAGGGTTTAAGTGTCTGTCTTGTTTACACCTTCACCAACATTTGTTATTGTTTTCTTCTGTCTTTATATCATTCCTTTTTATGCTTTGAGACATGATGCTTTTTCTTTTATCTATTCTTCTTTCATACAATACCTCCCAGCTGCAGTTTCCTCTACCTCCACTATTTCCAGCCCCCGCCCACCTTCTCTCTCCCCCAGATCCATTGCTCCTGTTTCCCTTCAGAAAAGAGCAGGCTTCCCACATTCCAACTGGATTTGAGATAGATCAATGTAGTTTTGTTTTCTTTCAAAAACTCAAAGCTTTATTTAGGTAGCAAGTGGATTATGTCCACCGAATTGTATGAAACATCATACTAGCATATGCTGGAGAGGTGAGGTTTTAATTTGCATTTCTCTAATGGCTCATGATGTTGAACTTTCCCCCCATGTACTGGCCACTTGTATTTTAGCTTTTGGGAAGTGTCTGGTCATTTCATTGGCCCTCTGGCAGAGGATTCATATCTAGACTCTGCCAATGATTTCTCCCATTCTGCAGATTGTCTCTTAGTAACTGTTTCCCTTGCTGTACAGGAGCCTTTTAGTGTCATTAAGGCCCGACCTCACAGGCCCTAGCCACAAAGCGCTTGCCTACGCCCACATCTTGAATGATTTTCCTTTAACAATTTGAGAGTTCCTAGCTCAAATTGAAGTCCTCAGTCCATTTGGGGTTGATTTCTGTGTGAGGTGAAAAGTAGGGATGTAGCTTTATTTTTCTGTATGTGCTCACCTGGTTTTCCCAGCACCATGCTGAGGAGCTGGTCCTCTCCAATGTATGTTTTTGGCATGTTTGTTCTATCAGGTGACCGTAGCTGTGTGGGTTTTTAACTGGGTCCTTATTCTGTTCCTTGATCTAAGTGTCCGGTTTTGTGTCAGAACCAGGCTGGTGCAGCATAGATGGTCTCTCTCTGGCTGAGGCGTCTCTCCAGCCCCCTGTGGCTGTTGCTGTGGCTCTGCAGTGAAAGCTGACATCAGGAAGAGTGACACTTCTACAACTGTTTGCTCAGGACAGCTTTGGTTATCCAGGGTCTTTTCTGCTCCCATGTGAATTTTTGTCTTCTCTATTTCTAGGATGTTTTATCTTTGTCCTTGTTTCCCCAGTCCCTCCGTGGTCATATCCGTGCCTTGATGTGTTCTACTGTGAGGCTCTTCATGGAACTTGGGATTTGGCTTACGTTTCTCGTTTCCGCTCGACTGGTTTTTCTTCAGCATTTCTATGTTGCCCTGGTGTTTCCTGTTTCTTACGTGGCTGCACTGGAATTTACACACCTGAAGCTGTTTTGTTGCTCATTTTCCATCCGCCATAGACTTCCAGCTGGAGTGTTTGCAGTGTCCAAGTGGGACTTGGATGTGGTACAGGTTGAGCGAAGTAGTTCAGAAAATAATTATGCAGCCCAGGAGCTCAGGTGCCTGCTGCAAACTTCGCATCATTCCCTGAGCAGAAAGCTCTGAGAGTGATAGCAACAGCTGGGTAGGACCACTACATAAATGCTGTGCCAGAGAACGGACAACGCCGGAGGAAGAACAAGCAAGGATAGCATGGGGTTTATTTGGATTTTAGTTAGTTAGGATTAGGATTGGGAAGGAAGTAAGGTAGGGAAGGATAAGGAGAAACATTAGACCAAACTTGAAAAGAAAAATGAGTTCCAGCTGAGTAACTTATCTGGGAAAGGGGAATCGGGTCATTGTTTGGACCCAGAGATTTTAGAGATCATTACAATTAGAAAGTAAAGAGGAAAGGAAATGGGTGAGAGAATGAGGAAGAAAATCTGGGATCGGAGGTGTAAGAGATATGGGCGGGGGGATGGGGTAGGGTGGGGGGGAGATATAGTCAAGATTGCCCTCTAGTCGCCTGGGTGAAAAAAAAACTCAGGAATCCTAAAGCCTGACCAAGAGATATTAGGACAAAAGCAAAATCTTCACGCGGCATCCATGGAGATTAAATAACAGAAACTGGCTGGGTGGTGGTGCACACCTTTAGTCCCAGAACTTGGGAAGCAGAGACAGGCAGATCTCTGAGTTCAAGACCAGTGTGGTCTACAGGGCGAGTTCCAGGACAGCCAAGGCTGAAGAGAGAAACCCTGTCTGGAAAAACCAAAACCAAACCAAAATAACAGGAACTAAGAAATAAAATGAACAGCTACGGAGAGACTTGCTGGCGCCTCTTCAGGTGAAAGACGATGTATGATCTCAGATCCCCCTGGCTCTAGGAGGCTCTATTGTGCAGTGTAGAGGCAAGTGAGAGACTTGATCTCTGCAGCCTCCACACTCTGTGAAGTGTTTGGGGGAAGGGGGAGGGGAGGCTGTAAGTCCTTTCCCTTGGAGCCCTGTACTCCAGCGTGGCCTTTTGGTGCTGCAGGCCTGGTCCTGTGTGTGAGGAACTTTCTTCCCTTGCAGGTTGCCGACCCCCTCCCCCAGACTAATTGGTGCTGATTGGGGAGTGCTTGCAGCTGGGCCTCAAAAGCTCTTCCTGCGCCTATTGAGATAATCATGTACTTAGTGTCTTTGTGTCTATTTATGGAATGCATTACATTTATTGATTTGCCTATATTGAACCATCATTGCACCTCTGAAATGAAGTCAACTTGATCATGAGGAATGATATTTTTTGATGTGTTCTTGAATTTAGTTTGCAAGTATTTTGTTGAGAATTTTGGCATCTATGTGTATAATTATCTATAGTTTTCATTTGTGTTTGTCTTTTAAATTGCTTATTTTTACTTTTAATTAATTGTGTGTGTCTGTATGTGCACACACACATGGGCGTGCTCGAACACATGTATACTTATATATATGCTGGTGCTCTCAGGGGCCAGAGCCATTGCGTCTCCTGGAGCTGGAGTTACAGGTGTGACCTGGCCTGTGTAGGTGCTGGGAGCCAAACTGATGTTTTCTGGAAAAGTAGGAAGCTCTCTCTACGGCGGAGCCATCACTCCAACTCCTTTGTCTGGTTTTGATATCAGGATAACAGCCTTGTAGACGAAGTTTGATAGAGCTCTTTCCTTTTTATTTTATGGATTAATTTACAAAGCACAGTGTTGATCTTCCCTTGAAGATTGGTAGAGTTCAGTGGTGAATCTATAAACCTAGACCTGCCTTTCTTGAGATTTGAAACATTTTCCTGATTCATTCTCTATGTTTATTATAGCTTCATGTAAATGATTTGTCTCACAGTTGTTTAGTTTTGACTAGCTGTGAACATCTAGAAATGCACCCATTTCTTTTAGATTTTTCCAGTTTGGTGGGGTATGCCTTTTTCTGTAGATTTGTAGTTTTAGTCTATTAATAGAATTCATGAAATTATTTCAAGTTTCCTGTGTCTGCTAAGATTTGCCTTGTGTACAATTATATGGTCTGTTCTAGAGAACAGGTTGCTAGGAGAAGATGTATTCTGCAGTGTTGGGATGAGATGTTCTGTACTGTCTATTGGAATCCATCTGGAGAAGATGTATTCTGCAGTGTTGGGATGAGATGTTCTGTACTGTCTATTGGAATCCATCTGGTCTGTGATGTCAGTTAGCTCAGGTGTGCCTGTTTATTTTCGTCAGGACAACATAGGTGAAAGTGGGGTATTGCAGCCACTTACTATTATTGTGTTGGGATCAATCTGTGTCTTTATATACGGAAGTAGTTCTTTTATAAATGGGATACACTCATGCTTTAAATTATAATGTCCTCTTAATAGAGAGTTTCCTTAAGTGACCTAGTCCTCATCTCTTCTGACTGGTTTTGGTTTGATGTCCATTGTGTCAGATATTAGAACAGTGACCCTGCTTATTATTTCCTGGTTCCCTTTGCTTGTAATGTGCTTCTTTTCAACCTGAAGCTAAGGCGGTTTCCTTCATGACAATAAATTGATGGGTTCTATTTTAAAATTTGATCTGCTTGCCTGTGTCTTTTGATGAAGAAATTGAGACTAATGGTGTTCAGAGTTTTCACTGAAAGGGTATATGTTGATTCTTTTGTTAATTTTGTAATGTTTGTGTTGTGGAATATTAGTTTAACCAGGCAAAGATGTGTTACATTTGTTCATGCTGCATTTGTTAACTATGCAAAGATGTGTTGCATTTGTGTTAATTAAATAAAGTTAACCTAGGCTCAGAGAGGCGGGGCTAGCAAGTGGTTGACAGAAGTAGCAGGGAGAAGTTTAGCGTCAGTTTTCTTTTAGCTGGGGTGGTGTGGAAAGGAGTAGCTTCCTGGATGCCTGCAAAGAGAGTTAGCCAGTCAGTATTCTATCTCTCTGAGCTCAAATATTTTCACCCTAACTTTTGAATCTGGAGTTTTATTAGAACTATAGAGATTTAGTTAGAACTACTTTCAGCGGCAGCAACTGAGCGGTTTATCAGGAGGGACAGGATTCCCCCCAGGCTATGGCCTTAGTGGCTGGGCCACTAGTAGTTTACAGCACAGCCACTGTAACAAAGATAAAACAACATGTTTGTATTTTCCTATTCCTGTGACTCTGCTTCTTCCCCTGGTCGGCTGCATAGGTCCATGAGGGTGGAGAGAGCAGAAGTGGGAAACTACTCAGATGGCTGTGAGGATGATGGGAAAAGCCCCCTGGAAAGACTTCAGTGAATCAGCTCAGCTTTATTGCAAAGCATAAGCAATACATAGGATTGCACAGCCTGGGGACAA